ATGCAAAATTTACCATCAGTGAGAGGGGATCATACTACAGAGCCTTAAAGGGGGCATCAGAAGGTTAATTTTATTGTGACACAAGCAAAATCTTCCGACCCCTATTTTTCCCATAGGGGGAAATTTTCTTTAAGGCCCTTCCTGGGCGCTGAGCAGATATCTCCTACACATCATTTGTCTCGTTACCAGCGTTGCGCGGAATCTTCAGGGTCCCACGCCCTATATATTTCGACTTGGTGGGGAAAAGTAGGCATTTTCATGGTCTTAACTACTATTCAAACAATTTTAAGACTGTCTGTTTCCAGATCGTAACCCTTTAATTCCCAGAAGGGATTAACATGTAAACTTCTCCCTATACTATACATGGCTTATCCAGCAAACAGGAAATGGGAATACTCAAATTCATAAAATAGAGGTTATCTTGATAAAACACCAAATTCTCATAACTAATTCACCAAGGAACGAATTGACAATTAGATCTTGGGAGTTAAACCGTTAAGCATCATTAACTAGTAGGATAACAACTTCCAAGAGAAAGAACTTTGTCTATGTAAGAAGAAATTTCTTTAACACTGTAATTCTGTCACGTGTTATTAGTTAATATATGTAACAAAATATTTACATTAAAGACCCATTTTAAGTGACACAAAAAATGGTCTGGGGGTCCTAAAATGCTACTTTTTGGTTCCGAAACATTTCTCTTTTGGTTAGTCCACACTTGAGCTGCATAGGAAACAAAAGTCTAACGCCAGAAATGATTCAGCGCGCATTCAATTGCTAAATATCATGATACTAATCAAACTCATGAGCCCCACCGTGGCAAAGACCCAGGCAAACACCAATCTCCATTTTCAATCAGTCACACCAGGCAAGTTTGCATATGTATTTTTATCCATTTAAGACTATATTTAATAACAATTCATTGACTTATATTGCGCAATTATCAATATAAAATTTTCAATTGCGCATTACAATGTTAAAAATTTAACTTTATCTAGATATTAAAGCTAAAAATAAAAATGTTGACTAACATTTACAACTGAAACTTGGACTTTTTTAGAGTGCATACACTGCGTAATTTTTCTTGTTGACTCTAGGAAAATATGCATGGTTTAAGAACAAATCTAACTCTCATCACTCTCTATGCAAAGGATATAGGTTAAAGTTAGATAAAATACTTTCTGTAACGTGGAGTTTAAACTTAACTTAACCTGCTTGTTTGCAGGTAATCCACAGTCTAAGAATATACTTAAAACTAAAAACTGAAAATGTACAACAGTTGGTCATATAAAAGCAACAAAAACTAAATTCTATAAATATGTATACACTAAAAGACAAAAGGCAATAAAACTTAAAATCGTCATCAGTAACAAAAGTTACTCTACTTAATGATACTAAGTTAGGGCAGTACAAATTCTGGACTCGCTAGATTGTGAGAGGTATACCTATTTTTTAGTCTATATATACTCCTTCTTCATCACAGGTGAACTTCTGAACAGGCAAGAGTGGTCGTGCATGTAATTCTAGGGTATGAAAACTATTTAGATAATTAAATAGGTGGCAAAAGGTAAATGGTTACTGGTAATATATATGCAAAAACATTACCGAGAGTAAAGAAGAAAAAACACACCATACGTAAGAACCTGGACCTCTTAGATTCCACCACCCAACTGGTTATATTCGCCGACAAACAAAGAAATCCACGGATCCAAAAAAGGGTTCGACCCTTTTCTTGGATTGAGAGATTCTTCCTGGGTTAAAAAAAATCTTCCCGTGTTAAAAAAAATCATTCCTGTGTTAAAACAATGAGTTTGACCATTGCACGAGTGGCACAACAGTACATGGCATTTTTGCCTCGCTCTGGACAATCAGATGCAACATTTACAAGTATGACAACTGGTCTATGTAGTCCGCTGTATTTGTGAAAAGTGCTCACAACAAGGCAATTTTCATCATTACACGTGGCTTTGACTATTCTTCCGAGAGACAATGCGAATTTAAGATTTGGGGGGATAGCTTTTTTATCACCATATAAAATGGCGATATCTCCAGCATCATACCCTTCACTGTAAAGCGATTTGATAATCTCCCTCAAAGTCGAAATTTGACAACCGTTCCGGTAGCTTCTCTCTTCAACGTGTTCACCTTTAAAATCGTGACCCATTTCAAAGGGAATTGTGCCATGTTCGTGGCATTTTGATGCATATTCCATGATACGTTGAGAATTTCTAACAACCTTTGTTAAGCATTTCAGAGGCACCCGTTCCCTTTCATCTGGCATGCCTGTGTAAAGATTGTGATTTATCTGTTTATCATCAAAGAAGAGCCAGAGATATCCGCAATTTAAATTGTGGCTAACAACACGTCTCCCCTTTTCCAGCCAGCCGGTGGAGGATCTCTGCTCTTCCTCTCTAAAATTCTCCAGTCCATCCATTATAACGTGCTTCACCATGGTTATACTTTCTTGCACGGCGGGCACTGCGAGGAACTTTTTGCGACTCATGGTACTGCACAAATCAAGATTACTGCCAACATTAACAATAGAAATCCATAATATTAGGACTTTCTTTGAACTGATTGCCCTCGTGTGAGCTTTCCAAATGATAGTATTCATAACAAATTATAGCAAAAAAAAACCATAATTTGGTGAAGAAAAACTATTATCATAGTGATAATCACCGTCGATATCATCACTGCTTTCAATTACTGCTAAACTACCTATCAGGGTTTTTACAAATTTTATCTTTCGTATAAACGAATTGACTAGATTTTGATTTCGTTTATGTCTGCATTCCCAAAATAGTTCAGAAAATAGATTAGGAAATATAATAAATTCGACGCTTAGCCTCCAAACAAGGAAGGA